ACCATTTAATCCCAACAATCCTGTGAGATTACAGCAGAAGTGGTAGAAATCACCTGCCAAAAATCGAGAGGAAAGCTGTATTATTGTTATACGTTCAAGGCGAAGTTTCAAGATTAAGAATACAGACAGTTTATTCTTTCAAAAGAAAAGAAATTTAATTCCTCGAGTGTCTCAAGCTGCAAGGAAGTTAATGAATTTGTTCCACTCTTAATTTTTAAATCTGTAACTTCCAAAAAAAGACACACATTTAGCCGAAATGAGGCATAGTGGAAATATTTGCAAAACCACATTTAATAAAATTTCTCTATGTCTCCATCAAATCCTATAATCGAAGAATTTCTGAGACAAATTCTAAAAATAAACTCATGTATCACTACACAAGACATATTGCAGGGAGGTCCAGATTCATATAGATAACTTAAAGCAACATTTTATATCACAGTAAAAAGATATAATACTGAAGCAAACTGCCTCTGCACAGATCACTCTACCAAATCTCAAAGGCATCTCCCAGCCCCGTGGGTATTTACTTACCTCCAAAGACACAATGACGGATGGTTTTTTTTTCAGTTCCTCACATTTCCTCTTCTTACAAATCTGGTGGCTGTTCTTTCTGTTCTTGCAGTAAGTACATTCACCACAGTTGGTCTTCTGCTGGCAGGGCTCACAGACCCCACATCGCTTTCGTTTCTTTTTTTCCAATGTAGGTAGCAAAGTTGTATAGGAAGGAGAAGAGGAGGTACTGGCAAGTGACACTGGCCTAGACACCACTGTGGTGTTGATCTGGGAGTTCCCACCTTCTGGTTTGCTAGGACCAGCTTGGGAGTATTGGGCAATGCCCTGTGAAGCATGGTAGAGTCCCCTCTCAGGGGCTAATGTGAACCCCTGAGTGTTAGCTGGCAGAAAGCTTATATGAACCTGCTTCTCATTTTCTATATTGCTTATAGCCATTATTGGAGGTACCAAACTTATCTCTGAGTGTGATGATGGTTGAGGAGTGTAACCTGAGCCGCCCAAAGGCAATATCGGCATAGCACCCTGGACCTCAAGGCCGTATGAAACGGTACCCTGGGGATCAGGCCATTCTGGGAGAGTATTATAAGTAGCAATTGGGTTTAGAGGGGCAGGAAGAAAGATAGGTGGGTCTGAGACAGTACCACCACCCATACCAAGGATTTGTTGGTCTAGGATAGCACCAAAGACCTCTCCTTGGACTGAGATAGCACCAGGGAATTCTGGTGGGTCTTGGGTCTCACCCAGAGCCTCTCCATGAACTGGGTTAGCACCAGGAACTTCCCATTGATGTGGGACAGCACTAAAGGCCTGTCCTAGGACAGGGGTGGTGTCAGGAACTTCCTGTTTATCTAGAGTAGCTTTAAGTACCTCTGGATGATCTGGTTTAGCACCAAGGGTTTTTTGTTCTGAGCCTGTCAAGAGGAGTTTTATTAATGAGGTAGGATACATTGACCCACCAATAGACAAATAGTTTCTAAGGTCTAATTCAGGTATAATAACTTTATTAAAGCTGGAGGTGGGGCGGCAATCATGTTCACTTTTGATGGGCTCCTGGTAAGAATCAGATAGCTTAAGAGATTCTACTCGTGAACCCAAATCTTCTAACTGAATGCTAGAGTTTCCTTCAGAGGTAACCTTGAGAGCTGCTCTTTGGAGCAAAGGAGCACACAGAGTGTCCTGAGCAAACATTCTAGGGGAATTACTGATATCATTCAATGTCTCTTTAGAGAATACTCCTTCACCATCACAGGTGCCTTCCAATGACCCAGAAAGGATCTCTGCTGCAGGACCACTGTGAATGGGAATATTTATTTTGGAATCCTCAGCCCTTTGGGACCAAGACTGGGCTATCTCTTGGCTCTCACCTTTAATTAAAGATGCATTTTGTATGCCAATTAGATTCTCTATATCGGGAGGAATTAGGGGGTCTTGCATTGAGACAGAATCGTTTCCTGAGTGCTTTACTCCCATGTTAGTGAGTACCTTATAATTACACTCATGTTTCTTTTCTAAATTTTTAGGAGGTGGAACTTTCTTGGGTTTGGCTATGACTACTGGAGGTTGGGAGAGTCGCCTGCTAAGAGAGGTACTTCGGAGAGCCATTGTAAACCCATTGCAAGTTAAGGATTCCGGGTTCTGAAAAAGAACCTCAGTCCTCTCCAAATTCATTCGTGCTGCTCCAGCTCTTGTCAGAAGGCTTCTAACTGGCATTGGTGGTTTGGGTTCTGTTTTTTTCTTAACATCTCTTTGTTGAATTAATTGCTTTAATTTCCCAGGGCTCATTGTCTTGACCGATGCCACATTTTTGTTGGCTGCCTTGGATGTCTTCTTCAGCTGACTGTTTTTCTTTTTGTTTAGATCTTCCCTCCTGACTAATTTGGAAGGCCTTGCATGACGGGATCGAGACATAGCTACGGAGTAGGAAAAAATGAAAGAGCACAGGAAACAGAGTCATTGGTCCTTCAGAAAGTCTCACTTTTGAGGAGAATCTGGATGCACCATGGTCGAGCTCACTTGCACAAGGTTTTGGTCTGAAATAACAAAAAAACATTGGAAGTGAGTCTTTCTCCTACACATTTTCCCTTTCAAATGGGAATATTTACTACCAATTATTAATTAAAATTAGGGAACTGAAGATTTTTGCTGCAAAAGGAAAATATAGACACGCACATAAAAACACATATCATTTAAATGCTGGATTTACAATAAAGCTCCTTTAATTACTGTGACAACTGATTAAGTTGATCAAGTTCCTTTAGATTGGAAACTACAACTATTGTTGTTACATGGAGTTGAAAGCTCAAATCCCAATCTTCACAAATTTGGATACTTAAAAAATTATTTATTAATCTCTTTCCTCAGCACATCACCATATAGGCAGAGAGAGGTATCATTTGTTTGACAACAAAGCTGGTAAAAACCAGAGGCTTATATAATCCAAGAAACTCTACTCCTTGGAGATTCAATAATGTTAATACCACATTCCAATTAACAATCCACAAATTTTGAGCTTTTTCCATCCACACAAATGATAGCATAAAATCTTGGGAGTTACCATTAACAGATTAGGCTACAAATAAGACTCACTGGTCCAACAAGTATCTGTTGAGTACCTACTATGTATAAGGAAGGCACTATAGCGGGCACTGCCCACACTCAGAAATGATCCGCTTCTTCTCTTTTACTCAACTAATCCAAAAACTGATGGTTCTAAAATCTCTTCCATCAAGGGTCTCAAAAGTCTCAAGGTGAATGCCTAGGCCATGAAATTGGAAATAAGAAAAATATGGGATAATTAACACAGCAAAAGATGTTAAGCAAGCAAGATAAACGAGAAAAAAGAAAATAAAAGAGGGATGACCAAGAACCATCATCAATTGCCTTTTAATCTCCTCAGATTGTTTATCCTGACCCAAAATGAGACCAAGGTTTGAACAAGGATGAAGCTCACCATAAAAAAAAATATATCTGTAGACTCTCCAAAACTCACAGAACCAACAGTGTGACAACAGACTGGGTGATAATTCTTTAACAGTTGACAGGTTGTTGGATTTTGAGAAAGCATATTGTAGGAGAATCGTTACCAAAAACTGGTCTGCCATCAAGTGATCACAGTCTGTGGCAAAATGAGGAAGAAAAAATGAGGCAGTATAAATCTTTTCACAAAGTTGAATAGATGCATTTAAACAACTCTCCCTTATTCTGAAATTATGCCTTCCTGTTTTCTCTCACTAAAATGTAGTAAAAGTCTTTTCTTTTGTGAAAAAGGTGGGGGATAGGCTTTATTTATTTATTTATTTTTAAAGTAAAAATTTGACAGCCCTCTATCATACTCAAATTTTTCTTTTTTGTTTTTGCTGTACTGATCTGATCCAGGTAATCCCTAAATGCATTGTTTGGTTTAGTGGCTACAGAAGGTATCACATCAGAAAGCCCTAAATTTGAACCTGTGATCATCAGCTATGTCCTTTAGTAAAGTATTTAACTGAGTGTCAAGGTTTCTGCATCTGAAATGAGTTGTTTTGAGGTATCAATGGGCTCCTACAGGGAAACCTAGGTTTCATCCTTGTGATATGAGGTTGGGGGAGGAGGGAGAGGTAGGGTAAGAAGGACTTCTGAATTATGCAGACTTGGGTTCAGTTTCCAACTCAGAAACATTACTAGCCATGTGATTCTGACAAATTCCTTAGTTTCTCTGCACTTCAGTTTCCTTATGTGTAAGAGAATAGGAAGAATAATAGTACTAACCTCATTGGGTTACCATGAGAATAAAATAAGATGCTATATGTATGTAAAGGCTTATTAGCACAGGGCTGGCATATAATAGATGTTTAAAAAATGAGTTTTTTTTAAAGGCTGATTACAACTCCAAATACAAAAAGTAATAAGAGAAAATAGGCCAAGTGGTAGTTATTATTATAGAACTAGTTTAACACAGTCTGCTATATAGCACAAGGCAAGATCAAGTTCTTTTGTTTCTGTTCCCACCTAACACAGTGCAGGCCACACACTATAATAAAAGATCTCAGAGCACAACACTCAGAGTCAAAGCATTTTGCCTTTAAGAAAGACTTTTTAAATAGACATTAATGAAAACCACAAGAAAATAACATTTTGATACAACCGTGCTAAATACAAACACTAGGCCAAAGAATACTTCACTCCAGTTCTTGGCAGCCAAGCTTACTGCTTTCTCCCTTTCTTAAAAAAAAAAAAAAAGAAGAAGAAAAGGAAAAAATGGCTTGCAGTAACTCTTTGGCTGTGAAAAACTATTAGATATTTTCTCCAAAAACCACTGATTTTTATACCAGCATTTTTAGAAAACAAAAGACATTTGCAATTGCAATCTCTAGAAAGTCAGCAATCTTTATAAGAATGTTTTTTCAGATAATCAAAAGCAATCCATTCCATTCTCTAGAAATTCAACAATATCAGTATAAGCATGCTTTTTCTCTTGTATCAAGATTACGTTGCTAAAAAATTATTAGGAGCATGTCATCTAGGTATTATAATCAGGGAAATTAAAATTCATATACGTAGGCAAGTAATCTGGACATGCCAGAGGGTGTCATGGGATCTGTTTTTGAAAGTAGTTTATAAATCAATCTCTGTCTCTTATATATTCTTTTATATTTTTAAATTGAAGTGCTTTAAAAATTCAGACTTGTAATTAAGATAATGTTGACCAGTCAGGCCTTATCTCTTAAAAAAGAGCCTGCCAAGGAAATGGAAAAGGTATGAGCAACATTGATTGGGAAGATGTGGCCTCTTTAAATGGTAACAGCCTTTTTATGAGATCATGAAAGAGGCCAATGACCCCTGAAAAACACGACTGCAGGGGAGAAACCACTGGGTACCACCCAGCCAAAGAAACAATCAGAAACAAAATAAGGGCTCCCACAAGATTCTAATTTTATCAACCTTGGCTCCGCTGATGAAATGTAACCTTTAGTGATAAACCAAGTTACCCCAGAGCTGAACTCTGGGAGAAGAGGCTGCAATCTTCTTCTGAAATTAAAAAATAAATAAATAATATAGTCCATTCTATTAAATAGGTCCATATTTAAATATGGAATTATCCCCACAGAACTCCTTAAATTTATTTTCCTTAATAATCTATAAACAATATTAAGTGCTCCATTTCCTTTTTTTTGGTGCTTTTATTTATTATAGAGTATTTAAGTTATACAAAAAAGGTACATTCACAACTGAATACTAATTCCACTTCCATTTTTCACTTCTGATGAAAACTGACATTTCGATTATTTCTCAGAATCAGTTTTATTCTACCCTAGAATATATTCAAGAGTCTGAGTGCTACAGAGATAGCTATAGGATAACATGACCAAAGAAGAAAATAAGAGCATGATGCCCTTGTTACTAAACGTATACAGTAGGCTCATGAGGGGAACCGTATCTAGTTAATGGACTCTATTCTGAGTTATTTTCGTGGAAGAGAAGAAAAATAAAACAACTCCCACTCCCCCAACAATTGTGGGATGCAAAACATTACTTATTTAACAAATCTTTTCACCAGAGGGTATGAAAACCCTTTACCCACAACTAAACATTTTTTTTCCTAAAATGTCCTTGTGAGATAGGGGACTGGAGTGTATGAGATCCAAACATTATAGGCCAAGAGATAAGAGGCCAACTCATAATATGAAACATGAAAAGACACAATGCTAGACCCAAGTTAAAGACTGGAGAAGTGGGAAGAACAGGCCCCAGGGTGAATATTGATAAACAAGGCCTATGTAAGAATCTGCTAATTATTCACATAGAATTTAAACTTAACCAAATTGGTAAACAAATAGGATCAGATTTTTGCCTCAATATTATGTGAGCGTACTAAGTAATTGTAATCAGTCTTTCTTTAAAGAGAGGTGTTTTTTCATTTGTTTGGTTTTTTTTTACAATTATTAAAGTAATCACCTGGCCTAGAAAATGAAAGTTGACTTCCTAAACTAAACTATATCAGTGTCTGTAAAGGACAACATTCACAGTACCATGTCAAAGTCTTCTCCCACTTAAACCCCCTCCTCCTTCTGGACCTCCAAAAGTCCACTAGGCAGGAAGTGGCTGAACTGATATAACCATCCAGCCTGCATGTCAATTTAAAATTATATTGCAATCCTTCCCACTACCAGCAGTGGCCAAAAAAGTGATATTTGCATACATATAGCTAGTTGAAAAAGTAACGCTGTTTTCATAGTCACTTCATTCAGAATTTAAAGGCTACTCAGAATTTAAAGGCTACTGCACTTGACTGAGAAATACAGACTTAAAATATTTCTTTTTAAAAGGCACCACCTGGCTTAGTTTCCTCGAGCAACTAAGTTCTACATCTAAAGGAAGAGGAGGAGGTGGGCGGGTTGCTTGCAGTTCCTAGATAGTTTTCTACCACAGGAAGTGTGAGAGCCCTCGGCACAAGGAAAGGCTGTTCAGGGAAACTCACTAGAATGCCAGCAGATTTAGTCAAAGACTCCTTCCATATGTAAAACAACCCTGCTGCCCTGCAGAGAGCAAGAAAAAAAAAGGCCAAAAAGGGCCACAGAAAAAAGAAGGGAGAAGTTAAAATGGAGATAGAATGACCCTCTAAAAACAAGAAAAGCATAAAACACATTTGGGAAGAGGGAAAAGCATGAGAAGGAAAAAAATGTCTAAAAAGAAAAAGGCCAAAAGACAGAGGAATAGGAAGAAATTTATGGTAATGAAGCTAGAATATTAAAAAGACAACTGGGATCAAAACACTAAAGACCAAAGACAGAAAAACAGAGGGGCGGGAGGAAGAGAA